TAAAATAGTAAATATATATCTTTTTTTATATTTTTAAATACAAGAACGTATATAAAAACAACACTATAATTTTTCTAAAATTAAAAATTAAGATTTTAGTAAGTCAAAAACATTTTGTTGCTAAGTTTCCCTAGCAACGATGCCAAGAACTTAACCCGACCTAATTTACTTAGTTACGCAATTATTTAATTTTAGAGATATAGTCAAAAGCTTGTAATTTATAAAAGCACTTATACAATTTTGGTAAGTCAAAGACATAACTTAAGATTTTAGTAAGTCAAAGACATTTTGTTGCTTAGTTACACAATTATTTAATTTTAGAGATATAGTCAAAAGCTTGACCTAATTTATATTTAGCGGCTAGTGTGAAAAAAATAAATATTATATAAAGATGATAAAAAAGATTTACACACTAAGGGTACTACGCAAGTATACACATTATTTCAAGTAATATAAGATTTTCTTTAAAAACCCTAGTATCGATCCCACAGGGAAAAACCAAAACTCTTATAAAATTGATTTTAATAAAACCTACTATTAACTTTAGAAAAACCTATATAGGAAATGATCGCAAGTTTTTTGAGAAATATCTAAACCTATAGAATTAAAGGAATGCTGGTATGCAAAACAAATGCAAAATGTAAATGCAAGATTATTTAAAAAGGTTTTAAAATGCAAATTTACCTCTACTATAAAATAAGAATGTATGAAGAGTTTGAATTTGTATAAAACAACTTTCCCCTTCTAATGAGTTTATAATTAGTGTGGCAAATTTTTTTTAAAATATAACTAAGGTATTGTGCTGAATAGGAGCAATTATATTATTTACCCTCGATCAAGTTTATAAAGAACATTGACTAATCTAGAGTTTGGTCCCTAAACCCATGGTTAGGCTGGGAAGATACTAGCTCTCACTCTAGAGTTCCCACTTCCCCTCCTCTCAGGGCTAACATCTTGCTTTAGTTTTCAAGCATTTGGACCAAATTATGGATTCTAGTCTGTAACCCTAAGATCTCCAACTCTACGCCCATCAGAACTTATTTCCCTATTTATTTACACTTAACCTCAAGGACTTTATTCTCATCTATTAGAGTAAATGTGATTCTTACTATGTTTGAACATAGCTCATTTCGGGTCACTATATTTTACAAAAAACTTTAACAAATCAATAGACCAGATTGGCAAGTAAATGAAGCATAAAGTTTGAATAATCACAATTTATGAAATTTTAAAAGCACTTCTACTAATCTACATTCATACACTTAATTATTCCTCATTGTAGGGAGAAAAACAAAGGAAACTGTTTAGATCTCATGGGGAAGAAATAACAATACATTGATTTATAGATAAATAAAAATTTGAAAGACAAGACAAAGTAAAATAAGCAAAGTACACAACTTATCTTAAACTCTTTCCCAAGCAATCCTTCAAGTTCCTTTGAATCACTCACTAACCTTACAATTCACTCCAAACTTTTTTGGAATATGTAGTGAAGAAGATATCTCTCAGTTCTCCTCTCCTTTAAATCAACAACAAGCCTTGAAGACTTTCTCCTCTCTAGAAAGAATCCACTTATCCATTTTCTTCCTCCCAAAAGTTTCTCTTTTAAATCTCCAGAAGTCTCTTTAAATATAACTCTCAAAATCCCAAGAGTCTCTTCAAAATTTGTTTAAATTCAATGAATCTTCTAGATAACTGTCGCTGGCGCCGAATCCTGACACCTAGGCACCATGCTCTTTGTTGTCAAGCGCTCAGGCTCCAAATCAACATTAACTTTTTTTGTTTCATTTGACTCCAATTTGCACCATTTTCGCTCAATTTGCTCCATTTACTCTATTTAGTGTACCTACAACCAAAAAAGTCAAAAGTATCTTTCATTGAAGTGCAATATCATTAAAAATAGGCATTAAATATACAAATAAAAGCAACATATTTTAGGCATGTCACCCAAGATGTAATTAACTAGTAAGAACACGTTTCTTTTGGAGTGCTCCTGACCTCAAAACAAGTACATAAACCTGACTCTCTTGTTATTAGTAGTTTGTGTAGATACTCTTTCACGGAAATTGATCCAAAGTGTGTCTGTCTGATTTTGTTTGGGCGAACATTCTTGACATATCATTGTGAGGTTTATCACACATAAGCTCTCCACATTTTACCTTTTATTTTGTTTGTCACTTTATTGTATGTTCATTCTTATTTGATTCATCTGTCATTCGAACCACTGATCTGATTTGGGAGGAAGATTTATTTGAATAAGGGAAGTATACAACAATCGACAAGCTGGCGACTCCTTTTAAAATAAAAAAGAGAAAAAAAGAGTGAAAACAAGGAGTGCTGCCGAAAAGAGGCGGCCGACGAGGTGGCGGTTCGCACGAGTGGGTTGATCGGGTGCGATTCGATCCCCAATGCATCATGGAGTGAAGAGGATCGAACAGAGGAAAATAATGCTTTATATATATATATTCTTTATTTTTAAACCCCTTTCAATATTAATATGCATCGTTTTGTGCGTCACCCACTTGTTCACGAAACCCTAACAATATGACAAATTCAATATTCCATACACGCTCGTGCAATATGTTTCATCATTTGAGTTTATCTGAACAAGTTCATCGACAGTCGAGACAATTCAAACCCGATTTGTGTCATATGTCTAAATGAAACCCGTCGTCCATTCAAAACAGCATGACGAACAAATGCCAATTGGTCTTTGCCCAGGCAAATGCCAAAGTCGAGCTGAATGACTCGAGTTGCTTACCCTCCAATACATGTCAAAATGTCTTAAATGGATGTCTTACACTATGAGAATAAATACATGCATCAAGCAAGGATTTATAGTATTCGAGCAAACATCCTGCACTCTTTAAATCAAATATTAATGCTAACAACTTTATTCCTAGAGAGATGACACATGTGATATTGAGACTGATTCATGTGTCGCTTCCAGTGAGAAACCCCTTCTTGCAAAAATACTATGACTAACATTCATAGGCCTTGTTAGTGACTGGTGGATCACCTGATGGTTATATTAGAGTGTTCCTTAGCCTCTATTTCTCCACTTGTGGTCTTGTTTCGACAAGTGGTGAAAGCGGTAGCTAATCCACCAACATAACTTTTTTGCCTTATCAAGCCCTTCGATGTAGAACCGACATAAGAAGATCCCTTTTGATAGCCCTAGTGGTAGATGCCATGAACAAACGACATAAGAGTCTTTCAATTCAACTAAAAGAGAAGAGACTCAGATCTCCGATTCAACAAAAAAATCAGAAGTGACTTACCTTCGTATTTTATCTTTTTATAGTTAATGACTCGTAATGTATGCTTTGCTTGAAAATGTACTTGTTTTTATCTTTTGAATATTAATGATAAATTAGCTTTAACATGACCTACCTTTCTTCTTCGGGGTGTGTCTATGTGACCTCCTGTTCTCTGTTTTTTATTTTTCTTTATTTTTTATGATTTCTTTACTTTGGTTCAGGATGTGTTCCCCATGTTCCACAAGTCCTTTCGGTGGCGATCTTGGGGTCTTCAGTTTCCAAACTCCATTTATTTTCTCCTACATATAAATATAAGGCGTAAACATTATGTGATATGTAGTTTATATTCATTATTATTCTAGTTCAACATTAATTGCTAATTTGCTTATGAGCCACCATAACCCATCATTCATTTGAGAAAAAAATATTGCCTTAGGCAAAAGCTGATCTTAGCAGCAGACACAATATTTGTTTAGGTCACAATAGTGATTGCATGCCTGCATCAGCAAGGTCTTCTTAAAGGATTTATGTTTTGAATGAATTTGACAATCTCAACCATTGGTACTCTCAATGAAGTCACTTCTGTCAAAGGGAACCAATGCTGTCCCTATCTCCTTTCTGACCTTCTCTTGGTCAGGAGACTCTTGCTCCTATTGGAGTCTAACCAATTAAAATGATTGCACTGTTATATGACATATGGTACAATAATGCTCTATATGGTCAGGAGACTCTTGCTCCTATTGGAGTCTAACCCAATTAAAATGATTGCACTGTTATATGACATATGGTACAATAATGCTCTTTGTACTAACTAAATAATGTGTTTATATATTATAGTTGACATGAATTTCGTAGAATGATATTCATAATAAAAGCCAGAGGAATTAGGAGACATTATAGTTGCATGTGATGGATCATTTATGACATGTTTAGTTGTTCTTCTTTAAAAAAAATATATCACTCGATAAAAAAAAATCTTTGATATTATTAGTGATTGTCGTCTCGTGGGTGACAAGGTCGATGGGCATCAACACCAGTGTTAAAAGTGTATATTGGCTTAATAAATGATGAAATCAATCAATTTTACACATCAATCTTAGAGGTGATGACACATGTCAAAGATGCGCATCAAATGTAAAAGTGATGGCATACATCAATGACATGCACCAGCCTTAGAAGTGATAGTATGCATCCATTATGTACATTAATCTTATATGTGATGGCAAGCATTGATGGTGTATATCAGCCTCACAGATGTTGGCGAGTGACTAGGTCTTCTAGTGATAATGATCAGATCACTATAGGCAAGTGGTGATTGTTGAGCAACCTTAGTCATGTGATAGGGGTCGCTTATTTATAGATGAGTGGTTGTCATTGGGTGATTGTACATACACAATTGTAATCAGATGATAAAAAAAAACATTTGTGATAGAAAAACTGCAATTATGCAACAATAACTAGGCAATTATAAACAAATAAATGTGATTATGTGAATACATATAAATAAGTATGAAGTTTCATTAGCTAAAACTCACAAAGTCCTATCATTGGAATCTATCACCATTGTCTTCACCACCCTTATCAACTTTCACCATCATCTTTGAGGCAATCAACTTTAAAAGAAAAACACAAATTTTCTTATATTTCTTTATAATGCTGATAAAATGTCAAATATATAATTTTATGTTACATCATCATTACAAATTTAAATACCAAGAAACAAACGGACAAATGGTCCAAAATTTGAGCCATGCATTGACAACAACTTCCACCCCAAATAAATTATTTTCTGCGAAATATTACAAGCAAACCCAACACCCAGGGAACTAACTCTAGTCACGACATCCCGCCGATTCCTATATGATGGCGGCATGATCGGCGAATAGGTGTTAGGATCGGAGCTTCGATGAGCCGAGGAGACGCCTGCGTTCTGCATCAAGTATCGAACTCCGCCGCGCGCCGGAGAAATTGGAATCCGAGGTGAAGGAGCACGAAGCCCGAGCGGCCTACTATAGGCAACGCATCGGACATCAGAGCCCTCTTTCTGCTGCTTTTGTCTTATATGAGGGGTGATCAACAGCTACTCAACGGCCTCCGCCGGTTGTTCTCCCGTAGCCGCGTAAGTGCAGAGCGACTGCAAGAGCGAGGGCAGGACGAAGAGGTTGAGGAAGTAGAGGACTACGAAAAGGAAGAGGTAAAGGGGGGAGGACTACGAAGAGGAAGAGGTAAAGGGGGGAGCAGAGCTCGGAGCTGTGGTGGATTTCGATCTAACTGGTCTGGCGAACATCCGTTTGCCCGGGATGGCCATGATGATTGGACAGCCACAGAAGAAGGTTTGCCGTCTTTTTCGTTCTCCTTTTTTTCCTATTCATCATTTATGTTTTGATTCAAAATTCAATTCGGTTTTCGTTCTCATTTCCTGTGTTGTACTTGGTTCAATTTTCTTTCCTTCACTACTTCTATTCAAGGAGAAATAGCCAGTAGGGGTTGTTGCGTCCGGATTTCGCCATATCGACCGTTCTTTTAGAATACGTTTATTAGGAAGGAAGGATTCAGGATTTTGTTTTTGTTGCTTTTGTGGATTTAGAATGCTTTGATATTCGGGACGGCAGAGCTCTACGCCAGATGCGCAGTCCCTTTCGCGTTAAAGTCGAGATTTAGGATTCGTCTTTTGACTTTTGAGGGCCTGCTTTCCTGTTTCTTATATTGTTGGGCAATTGTTTTTGTACTTTTAATTTCTTGCCTCTCTTGCGTACGGCACCATGACCAGTTCTTTGAGTTTTTAATTTTTTACTTCTTAGTTCCTAATCAGTGCATTTCTTGTTTCATTGTAGATTTAGCCACCGAGTTTAGACTTTTCAGTCCTACTGTTCCTTGCTTTATCTATTTTTTTATTGTTTCCGACATCATATATTTTTCTTTTTTCACTCAAATACTTCCTTTTTGTGTGTCTACTTTACTTTAGTAAATTGATACTGTTGTTATGTTTTCTTGCTCTAGAAAAGGATTTTCTTATAGAAATATTTGCTCCAATTAAATGAATTTAGGGGCTGTGTGGCAATGGATTTAACCCAACATTTGATTTGCACAGGATTTAAGTGGAATCCCGTCATTTTGGACAAAATAAATCCCGAATGCCGTAAATCTGGATTCCACATACTTCGGCTGTAAATCCCAGATTTACTAAATCCCACGTGGATTTAACTTCATAAACTTGGATTTAAGGTTATACAAGATTTAGTAAATCCGTTGTCAGACAATTTTTCGGACAATACCTTAGGATTCAGTAAATCTGAATTTATTGGGTTTACTAAATCCTGATAACTTAAATCTCATCTATTGTCAGACAATACCTTAGGATCAACTTAAACTTAAACATGTGAGTGCAATGGATAAGTTTTACAAAATATGGCTTATCTTCCAAGATTATAAAAATTAGTTTGCCTTCTTCTTTTGTCTGCTGCAGTGTCTGATCTTTCATTTTAAAATTCTCAGAACTTGCATGATTCTGAATTCTTTACCGAGTATGGTGAAGCAAGCCAATATGAGATAATAGAGGTTGTTGGGAAGGGTAGTTATGGTGTAGTTGGCGCTGCAGTGGACGCCCATACTGGAGAGAAGGTCGCAATCAAGAAGATCAATGATGTATTCGAGCATGTTTCTGATGCAACACGAATTCTTAGAGAAATCAAGCTTCTCAGACTGCTCAGACATCCTGATATTGTAGAAATTAAACACATAATGCTGCCTCCATCCAGACGAGAATTTAGAGATATCTATGTTGTTTTTGAGCTAATGGAATCAGATCTTCATCAAGTTTTAAAGGTGAATGATGACCTCAGTCCGGAACATCATCGATTTTTCCTGTATCAGCTTCTTCGGGCTCTTAAATATATTCATTCAGGTTGCTGCTTTTGGTTTATTGATTTAGTTCTTTTATCAGGCTTAAATTATAGTTAGTTTATGTAGAGTTATACTTTGTTGCAATAACCTGACGTATTAATGTCCTATTTTCGCTGATTTTGCAGCGAATGTATTTCATCGAGATTTGAAGCCTAAAAACATTCTTGCAAATGCGGACTGCAAGTTAAAAATTTGTGACTTTGGCCTTGCTCGGGTGTCTTTTAATGATTCTCCTTCAGCAATATTTTGGACCGTACATTACTCTTTCCTCAATAAAAATATGTTAATTTTTTTAGGCATTTACATACATACCTCATCTCTTATGTATTTACATATCTAAAACTGAAATATTCAGATTTACATGCATACCACTGAAATTTTTAATATTACTTCAAAAATACCACCCTTTTTGAAAGTGAAGAACACCTTTTTCATGCACAGTTTTATGACTCCTAGGTGTTTGTTATAAGTGTAAACATCAAACTTTGGGTGTTAGATATGAAAATACATAAAAGTTATGTAGTATGTATGTAAATTTCCCTAATATTTTTGCCCATGTCTATATTTTATTTCTTTTTTCTTATCGGACAGAGAGTGTATAGCAGTAACCCTCTTTTGCATTTTTTACTTGACTTTTTTCCTTATTAACTATGTTGTCCCTTTTTCCTGAGATTTAGGATTATGTGGCAACAAGGTGGTATAGAGCTCCTGAACTATGTGGTTCATTTTTCTCCAAAGTAAGTTTCAAATGCCACATATATATAGAATTGAGCTGAGAAGTCAAATGGATGAACTATTCTTAATATGCGATTGTTGAAATGGTATAACATATTTTAAAAATTGTGTTGTATTTTTTTTCTGCGGAGAAAATATCCACGTTTTTTGTATTTGGTGCAACCAGTCATTTTTTCTGCTATAACTTTCACTGAAGATTACAATTTACCTTTGATATTTTACTTGAGATTAATAAAACTGGGTGGTTAGTTTCACCTTAAGCTCTGTGTATTCGTTCTATATTTTTTTTGTAATGCTAATTTCTTTCATTTCTATTTTTTTTGGGTAAATTCTTTCATATTTTTATTCTTTATTTACTAAAAATTTGGGGGGTATGGACGAGCAGACTTGACCTCCAAGGGTGTGGAACTTGGTTTGGATGCTGGCAATCCTTAATCGAGCTCTGCTTAAGTTCAATAGTGCTTGAACCAGCCTTTATTGAGTTCAGCAAGCAGTCAATTGAATAAGCTTCATTCAGTCTTGATTCTTACTGATTTCGTGGGTTAGAAGATAAGAAAGGATTATGATGATTATGTGGACATAAATATTAGTGGTCATAATCCTTATGGATACGGTGGTTGGGCAAAATCTAGAGCAATGAAACAACTGGTTTTCTCCGAGCTCAAGAGTAGTGTTTGCTAGCCTAGTGTGGCAATGAAAGTTTCATCTACTCATCTTGATTTCAAATGACTTGCTCCATAGAAAAGTGATATTAGATTGCACCTTCATGATTTTATTATACCTTGAAGATCCGGGAGTAAGAGAAAACAATTGAAATTAAGTAAAATGTTGTAACATCAAATGCAAAATGTAGTGAAAAAGGTGGATTAGCAGAAAGCTCAAGTGAGTTGCGTGTGTGGAGCGTGAGATGGGGAGGGAAGCTGGGTAATAAATGACCTAGGAAGCATGAAAGAGAGGGGGAGATAGACACAGAGGGATTTGGAGAACGAGAGAATGGGGAGAGGAAGAGACAAAGAATGAGGATGAGTGTGAGGATGTGGGCAGGAACTAGGGAGAATTGGAGACTCCTAATTATGATAAATAATCCCTCGTCGGAAGTAAATAAATGAATAATCTTAATTTACGCATGCTTTTTACTGATCAATTTAATTGTTTAGGTTGATAAATATTCGTCCACTATTGTATTATTACTAGCAACGATATATAATCAATGGTTTAACTATGGTCAAATAGTTGTTATAGTTTATTGCTCAGCCTTTTTGGTAATTTCTATCATGGTTGAGGTTTAAGAAAGGATGTGTTTCTTGTTGGCTGCATATGGATGAATGGGTTTTCACTATATGGAATCTTGAGTGCCCATGTAACTTCAATTTGAAGAGGCTGAAGATTGATGCAATTGAGACTCATGTGAGAGTATGGTTGTGGTGATACACATGAGAGGGGTTTTAATGGTCCTAAACAAGACGTGAAATAGTGAGTTTCGGTATTTAAATACTAATGGTGACATTTTACCATTGAATTATGCTTTTAGATTGATATTTAACCATCTACTAGTGTATTGAGTTTAACTTGAGGATTTGATTCTACGCATGACCATCATGTGGGGTTGATTTTCAAGATGTGCATAGGAGTGGGTTGCACAATCGTGCATTGGAAGTAAAATAAAGGATCACAATCCTAATATATAAGTGGTGGCTCTTGCATATTAGCTTAAGCTTTTAATTGAATAGATATTCGTTTGCTAATGAGTTGGGCTCTATTTGATTCTTCATAAGTTGAGTGATCAAGAGAAATCTCCAAATTTCTTGCACAAGTCCATAACCATTCATATGTTGAATATCATGTAAAGGTTAGTTTTTAGGATACAAATAGAAGTGGATTGAATTGTCCTACATTGAAAGTGAAACAAAAAATAATGGTCCTAATATATTGGTGGCAGCCCTTGCACATTAGTTTAGGCTCATATGTAAATAAACATTCATTCAATGAGATTAAGGCTCAATCCAATCCCTGTTTAGTCGAACCCAACATAAGAGAAAAGTCAAAATTGTTAAATTAAGAAGTTTAATTTTTGTCCTACAATGAAAATATGCTACACAAACTTAGTCACATGTTTATCTTCATGCTAAGATGGTCATAGGAGTTAGAGGACGGTGGACAAAAATTATCCAATATTTGAGATTATATCATTTAGGGGTGTTTTTTTTGGTAATTTATTGCACTTTTTGGCTGCCCTATCTCAATAAAGAGCGGGGTACCTGCTTTTGCTATACAAGAGAAAGTACAATTGTACTTTTTACAAAATCAGATCATAATAAAATCTACAACGATGATAAAATTCTTCCACAACTCTTTTGATGTTTTAAGTTTTAAAGTGATTTTTTTTTTGATGTTCTAACATAGTGAATTTCCATTGTTTAAATATGACTTTGAGACCTAGAACATGAGGATGATCTACTTCACATCTCAACCATTAAATGAGATGGATTTAAAATACTTATATTAGTACATTAGTAAGGTTTAATTGATTCAATATATTTCTAGAAGTACATTAGCGAAGCTTGGTCAATTATTTCTCTAAGCTGAGTTTACATTTTTTATCTGGACAAAATATTTTTTTGTATTGTTTAATTACTAAGGTATCTGTTCGAGGTGTCGGGATTAGGAGCTATACCATTTTGCAGTGTTTAAACCTCTTTTATGTGAGCGTGGGTGCGTTTATAACAGTGTCTAGGTTTGCCTATTTTGATTTGAAGGTCATGGCTATTGATTCAGAAAAATACAAATTCTTTACACTTATAGGGGTAAGTCTCTGTTGATCCTATATTGATTATGAGCCATACATCAACCTCTCTATAGATCCTATATAGGCAGGAGATTGAACCCTTTGATATGTTTGCATAGTTCTATTTCATAATTATATCTTATATTATTTTGCATGAAGTTCATTATTACATTTGTTGGAGAGAAAAATGTGTTTTCTTGTGCTTAGCGTAGCTTAAAAACAAATAGATCTGTAATTTTCATGTCGGTTGAGGACTTCTATTGAAGTGTTATGGTAATGTGAAAGGGATATTGTATAGTTTCTATAGAAAGGTGATTTACTAGCTTATAAATTAACCAGTAATTAAACTATTATAGATTTATAAGGATATACAATTTTATTCATCTGATTTCTTATCACTCAAATTGTATGTTTTTCAAACTTGAGGCTTCATTAAAAGTTGGGTGATGATCTTTTTTGTTGTTGAATTATTCACTTGGCCTGAACTCTTGAAGAAAGAATTTTTATTGGAGGAGATTTAAATGGACATGTCGATAGAATGGTAGAAGATTTTGTCGGCCGTTTTATTGTTCAACTTCACTTTCGTAGTTTGAAAAGGTGATGATTTTATGATTTTGAAAATAATTTAAATATAAATATAACTTTTTGAAAGAAGTAACATTTTAATTTTTAAAATAAGTGAGATCAAACGAGTCTCACATTTTTAAATAGTTTAGATGATTTAATACAATACTACAAGCAATACATTTATCCCGAAGAATAAATATATCACTTGTAATAG